TTATCTATGATGCTTATGTAATCTATTATATCATATCTATGTGGTAGTTCTCGTAAATTCTTGTACTAGGAATTTTTATTTGCTGTTTCATGTTTGTTACTGAATTGTGAGAATCCAGTTGTGATTTTTAACATATCTTAGGTATATGTTAATAGGTCTAATATATACTATACATTTTATTGGTTTATTTTGAAAAAGGCGGGCATAGAATTCTTTTTTTTTTTTTTTTTTTTTTTTTTTTGAGATGGAGTTTCGCTCTGGTTACCCAAGCTGGAGTGCAATGGTGCGATCTCGGCTCACTGCAACCTCCACCTCCTGGGTTCAGGCAATTCTCCTGCCTCAGCCTCCCGAGTAGCCGGGATTACAGGCACACGCCACCATGCCCAGCTAATTTTTTGTATTTTTAGTAGAGATGGCAGGATGGTCTCGATCTCCTGACCTCGTGATCCACCCACCTCGGCCTCCCAAAGTGCTGGGATTATAGGCTTGAGCCACTGCACCCAGCCCCTAGAATTCTTACTGTATTTATTTTAAATAGTTTGGAAATCCTGGTATTTTGAAAAGACATTGTTCCTATAGAGTTGTGTGATGAGTGTTATAGCTGTTATATACACATAAATATAATTTTGTTGTTCTTTTAAGAGAGGATTATGTTTATCCTAAGTATTTTATCTTTAAATCTTTGTATGTATTATTACATGTGGTGGTGAAGGGATGACACTTTTTTTCTCTGATACTTACTTAGTATATTACCTTTATAGCTACATGGTAGTTCCCCTAAATTCCTGTAAAAATAAATTTTTATTTGATGTTAAGTGTATGTTTTTGAAATGTGAGAATTCAGACATGATTTTTTACCTCATATTGACATGTTTGTATGTTAAAGAGGATGTATGTTTTAAGAGAACAGAGCAGTGCATGTATTGGGGAAATGTAATAAAGATGAAGTTTTTTCACCTTTATAGAGTGCAATCATCTTGCTCTGGATTGCTTATTTCCTATCAAGTGACATTTTTCCTTAATGTTATTTGGAAAAATGTCCAAATATTTGGTTATTTGAACATATTTATTAGCTCTGGAAGATAATCCCATTATTTTTCATGTAGAAAAAAACAAAGCTGTGCTCAATGCTCACATGTATAATCCCAGCACTTTTAAAGTCATGGCAGGAGGATCACTTGACACCAGGAGTTTGAGACCAACCTGGGCAACATAGCATCTACATCTATTTTTTAAAAAGAAAAAAAAATAGAGAAGGCCAATCCCAAGCTTAGAGATTTTTGTTTATTTTGTTTTTTTGAGACAGTCTCGCTCTGTCGCTCAGGATCAAGTACAGTAGTGCAGTCTTGGCTTACTGCAACCTCCACCTCCTGTATTCTTCTGCCACAGCATCCCAAGAAGCTGGGACTACAGGTGTGTGCCACCACGGTGAGGTGTAATGTTTGTATTTTAATAGAGACAGGGTTGCACCATATTAGCCAGGCTGAACTCAAACTCTTGACCTCAAGTGATCCGCCCACCCTGGCCTTTCAAATTGCTGGGATTACAGGCATGAGCTACCATGCCCAGCCCCTAAGCTAGAGATTTAAAGCAGGAAATGAGAGAAAGACATTTAGAGAAGAAAACCAGGTGGTAAAAATACTCTAAAGGTTTTTATTTTCTAGCGTTTCTAAAGTGGCTCACACCTGGGATCCCAGCAGGAGTTCCAGACCAGCCTGGCCAACATGGTGAAAGCCCATCTCCACTAAAAACACAAAAATTAGCCAGGAATGGTGGTGGCCACCTGCAATCCTAGCTATTCGGGAGGCCAAGGCAGGAGAAATCACTTGACCCTGGAAATTGGAGGTAGCAGTGAGCAGAGATTGCCAGCCTGGGTGTCAGAGCGAGACTCTGCTTTCCAAAGAAAAAAAAAAGTTTCTGCAACATTTGAGCCATTAAAGACAGGCACTGTGCCATGCAATTTTTTTTATTTTTGGAGTTGGGGTCTTGCTCTGTCACCTATGCTGGGCTGCAGTGGTGTGGTAGCTCACTGTAGCCCCAGACTCAAGTTCAAGTGATCCTCTTACCTTGCTTCCCGAAGTGCTGGGATTACAAGCATGAGCCATCACAGCTGTCCTGTATGACACAATTCTGATGTCAACTCCCTGATGTTAACATCAAATGCCACAAGTTAAGGCCACAAACCCCCACTAGGCTGCCTTCACATTAGATGCAAGCTGCAAGTTTGGGTGTGCTCAGATCACATGTACTTCTCACCAACTGGCTACAAATTCAGAGGTTCCCACAGTGTCCTCCGGTTTGATAATTTATAACAACTCAAAGAACTCAGAAAAGCAAGATACTTTTTTGTTAGTAAGCAAAAGTACAATGGCACAATCTCAGCTTACTGCAACCTCTGACTCCCAGGTTCAAATGATTCTCTTTGCCTCAGTCTCCCTAGTAGCTGGGATTACAGGTGAGTGCCATCATACCTGGCTAATTTTTGTATTTTTGGTAGGGTTTCGCTGTGTTGGCCAGGTTGGTCTTGAACTCCCAAACACAAGTGATCTGCCTGCCTCAACTTTCCAAAGTGCTGGGATACAGGCATGAACTTCTGTGCCCAGCTGAGCATGATATTTCCATTACAATTTTATATAAGAAAAACTGACAAAAGTAACACCAGTCAAAAGCAGAGACACGTAGTATAAACTCCGAGAGAGTCCTGAAGATGACATTTCTGTGTCCTCAGGATGCATCATCCTCTCAGCATACTGATGTGTATCTCAAACCAGGGAAGATCACCTTAGCTTCCACGTCCAGGGGTTTTATCACAGCAGGTGGGTTGATGCAATCATTGGCCATCTCCAGCCCCCCAGTTCCTTTCTGGAGGTCGGGCTGACATTATGTGGCTCAACATCACAACCTTCAAATCACATGGTTGGTCTTTCTGGTGTGGTTGCCCCCTGGCCAAGTCATCTGGTTAGCATGCACTCAGTTGTGACCCTGGGGTGGCCACTATGAGTAACAGACACACCTGTCATTCAAGAAATTCCATGGATTTAGAGGCTGGCTACCTCCAGGAATCAGAGACAAGACCAGAACCAACAGGGAAAAGAAGACCAGGGAAGTGTCAGAACAGCAAAGAAATAAATTCCTTTTTTTAAAAATTTTGTGTAAATGAGTTTATTGACAAAGACACAAGGTCACACTTCCCCCAACCCCCACCCTCCCCCAAAACAGGACCCTACAAGAACAGAGGAATGAGAAGCATTCTCATGGTAACATTTTTGCCACCCCGCCCCCCTTCCGATTTCTTTCCAAAGACTCAAGCTTCACAACACAGACACGGAATCTCTGACCAGCAAAAGAGTTCTGGGTGTTTGCTTCTCCTGCCCTTTGTGTGATGCCAGCTGATGTTACAAAAACACACTTAGGCAGAGGAGGGGGCATGCAGAGCAACCTCCACTCACTTCCCTAATTTGGCCAAGCTTGGAATGAGCCAAGAGAGAAGTTGTGGTGGAGGCAACAGTTTCTGCCTCTCAGGAGAGGACCTTCCCATAATAAATTCTACTTCCCATAATAAATTCCTTTTTATATGTGTATATATAATGTATATAAAATATATATTTAATGAATTAATGTATTAAATATGTAGATTGTTTTATAAATAGAAATGTCATATTTTCATATAACATAAACATTATACATATATAAATATATGTTTCTCCCTTTATTTACTTATGAGTTGAGTTGGAGTCTCACTCTGTCGCCCAGGCTGGAGTGCAGTGGCATGATCTCAGCTCACTGCAACCTCGTTCAAGTGATTCTCCTGCTTCAGCCTCCCCTGTTGCTGGGATTACTTTTGTTAAATTTGGCCTAAACCTGCCTCATAAACAGTGAAATGTATCCTAATTTAAGTGTGTAAACCTTTTGCTAAGGTAATGTAAAAGTAAAATTAAAGAAAATAAGGAAAAAAGAGCATAAACCTTTGTGAAAAAGCCTTTAGGCCTTGTCAGTTCCTAGAATGTATTTATTTCACTACACTGGGGACTCCATTTCCAGTGTTAAGGTTCATTTTCAGAAGACTGGGCAAGCATCAGACAGGGGGTGGGGAGGAATTATACAAACAATTGAGTCCAGGTGGTGGTCCTAGGACCCAAGGGGCCCCTCTGTATGGCAGGGGCACGCAACAGCCGTAACTGATGTGTTCCCTGAGAATGACTTTATGGTCTAAGAAGAACGTGTGTTCTCAGCCCCAAGCTAAGGAATCAGGAGTGGCAAGACCCCAGAAGGATGCCAGCTTACCAAGTCAAGAGGTCTAGCAGGGCACTTGGTTTCTCAGGTCACACACTTGGCCCTCTTCCAAGTTGTACTATCCTTCTTTCCTTTCCTTTCCTTCCTGTTCTAAAGGTTTTCAGTAAACATTTTTTTTGAGATGGCATCTCACTCTATCACCCAGACTGGTGCACAGTGGCACCATCTCAGTTCATGGCAATGGCCGCCTCTCAGGTTCAAGCAATTCTCCTGCCTCAGCCTTCTGAGTAGCTGGTCTGAGACCACTACCTCACCTGGCTAATTTTTGTATTTTTAGTGGGAATAGGGTTTCTCCATGTTGACCAGGTTGGTCTCAAACTCCTGACCTCAAGTGATCTGCCCACTTCAATCTCCCAAACTGCTGGTATTACAGGCTTGAGCCGCGGCCCTGGCCTTTTTGTGTGTGTGTGTGTGTGTGTGTGTGTGTGTGTGTGTGTGATAAGTCTCCGGCCAGGCTGGAGTGCAATGGCATGATCTTGGCTCGCTCACTGCAACCTTCGCCTCCCAGGTTCAAGCGATTCTCCAGCCTCAGCCTCTCTACTAGCTGGGATTACAGGTGCCCGCCAGGACACCCAGCTATTTATTGATTTTTTTTAGTAGAGATCGGTTTTCGCCATGTTGGCCAGACTGGCCTCAAGTGATCCACCAACCTCTGCCTCCCAGAGTTCTGGGATTACAGGCGAGGGCCACCGCTGCACCTGGCAGGCATGGAAGAGGTTCCCTTGGGTCCTGCTCAGAGGAGTCACGCTGGGGAAAGCAAGTGGAGGTGCTCCTTGAAGAAAATAGGGAATCTCACATCTCAGGGGTTCTGTCCTGGCCTGCCGCCCTGGATCGTCCAGCCTGGGTCGGGGTGGGAAGACCTTGCCCTTCTTGACTGGGTTTGAGTGTGAGTGTCCCATTTCGCCAAGGCCTAGCCCGCGGTTCCCAGTCCCTAGCACCACCCAGCAGCTCCCGGCTGCCCCTCCCCTCCAGACCTGGCACTCGCCCCCTCAACCAAAATGGCGCCGACGGCCTCAGTACGTCAAGCGACGTGCCCGCCGGCCTCCTCCCGCGCTTCTTTTATCCCCGCAGCCGGAAGCCGAGCAGCAGAGCGGAAAGCCTGACTTTGGGGTCCGCGGTGGTTTAGGCAGCGCCAGGGCTGTTGTGTGGCTGCACGGTGGTGCTGCAGGGCGGGATGCTGTACCCCCGGGAGAGCCCGTCATGGAAGTGCAAGGAGCTGGACAGCCCCTGGAGCTTCCGCGCCGACTTCTCCGACGACCGGCGCCGGGGCTTCCAGGAGCGGTGGTAGCGGCCGCTGCTGCGGTACTTAGGGCAGGGCCGGGAGGCACACAGAAGCCGGGCGGAGGGAGTAGGGGAGCCCGGGCCGCCTCGCAGGCTCCTTTCCCTTGTCGCCCGGGGGTTGGGGGCCCAGAGGAGGTTAAAGGTCAGTGGGCTTGGGAGCGCTGGGTTGGAGGAGTGGGGCAGGGAGGGGACCCAGGAGGACTGCTGCGCCGAGCCCCCTCCCGAGGCGAAGGCTGAGCCCGGGCAGTGTCCTTTTTTTTAATGTTTGTTTTTAATTTTTAAAATATTTTTTGAGACTGGGCTTGGCCCTGTTGCCCAGGCTGGAGCGCAGTGGCGCAATCCTAACTTCTGAGCTCAAGCGATCCTCCTGCCGCAGCCTTGCAAGTTAGCTAGGGGGCTCCACGCCTGGCTAATTAAAAAAAATTTTTCTTTTAGATATAGGGTCTCACTACTTTGCCCAGGCTGGTTTCGAACTCCTGGCCTCAAGCCATCGTTTTATGTTGACCTTCCAAAGCACTGATTACCGGCATGAGCCACCCAAACACTCCTCCCAGTAGTCGGGCCAGAGCCTCTTGGGCTGCACAGAGCTGGACCTGAGGATGGGGAGGAGGAGACAGTTTAAACATCCTGAGGTCAGCTCTGCAAAGAAGCCAGGAATGTAACTTGGTCCCAGATCTGTTTGGGGGCCGGAGCTGAGCTCCACCCTTCTCTCCACAGTTTGGCCCCACCCTGGACATGCAGGTTCTCTCCAGCTTCAAGAACATCTGCCAGGACTCGCGGCTATGGCATTTTTGTCAGCTGGGTGTGGCACAAATGGGATGTGACCTTGCCAGAGTGGTGGACCCAGGACCTGCAGAGAAGAGTGGTGCTGAGGATTGGCAGTGCCCACTCCTATGCCATTCTGGTGAGTGCAGCCAGGAGCACGTAGGGCAGGTGGGTGGGTGTGGCTGCTGAACAGCATGGGAGTCCCAGGTGCCACCCACAGCCTGTCTCCTGGGTTGGAACGGTGAGGGGCCCTTCCTTGCTCTGCCCTGGAGGCTGTTCCCTGTGTAGGGGGATAGGTGACCTAGTCTACCCCATTGGGATGCCATTCTTCCCGTCTGGCTGGCAGGCCTCAGCTCTATGCTGCAAGTTATGAGGGAGTGCCCAATAACATGGCCCCTCCTCATGCACTGACCTGCCACCCTGTCTGTGATGGGTGAACGGGGTCGATGTGCTAGAGCATGGGGGTTTACCTCCCCTTCAAGGCCAACATCAGCAGCCTGGTCCAGGTGGGGCCCCTGCCCTCCCACCTCCCCGTCACTATTGCCATCAACGACACACTCCCTCCATCCAGCCACCAGGGATCATCTGCTACATGACTGACACCTGCAAGTGGCTACCATCCTGCCTCCACCACACGCCCCACCTCCCCACCCCACCCCATAGTCTTCCTGCTAGGGACAGATTTGCCTTCACAGAATGGACGGGCCTGGATCTGGGGAGGCCACAGACATGTGAGCTGAGGTTAAACAACCCACAGCAGGGGTCCAGCAAACCACAGTTCTCCCACCCTGGATATCCCAAGGGTTACTTTGTCCACAACACAGACTTTGACTTCAGCTCGGCGGGACTGCAGCAGTCTGTGCTTCTGTTCACGACACTCACCACCTGCATTGATGACATCACCGGCGAGAGCTTCCAGTAGGATCCTTTCTCAGCGGGGCCCAGGGTGGCTCTGTTTGTTCCCTGTTTGGAAAGCTCTCCCAGGAAAAAGGTTCTCCCAGCATCTCTAAACCCTCCCAGGTTCCCATCTACCTACAAAGCTCAAATCCAGACTGTCTGAGCGGGCACCGGCTCCCAAAATCACCTGTGTGGTTGACCTCATTTGGAGAAGAGGGGTCTTCTTGCCTATGGTCACACAGCTCAGGGTGGCAATCCTGTCCCTTTCCCATGGAGCTACCCTCACTCCAGCTCCCCTTGGTACACATTGTGCTCAAGGAACAGGCAGCTTACCAGGTACTCCCTGTGGCCCGAGGCCCCTCCCTGTGGCCCCAGGCTCCCACCAAATCCCTGAGCAAATAGTGCAGTGTTGCCAGTCTGTGGTTTCATGTTGAACTAATTAAATGCTCAAGTGCTGTTTAACTGCATGCCTTGGATGAGTGCCTCTCTCCATCCTTTAATGACCCCTGATGCCCACATGGCTCATGAGTGAAGATGTCCCCACCCCAGATGCCCCTTCCCAAGGTGTGCTTTCAGGACTCAGCTCCTAGACAGGGACAGTCAGCCATTAGGGATAGGGTGGGACCAGGGCAGGGGCTCTCCTGACTCCTGATACCTGTTCGCCTGCCCCCCAGCGTTACTGCCACCTGCTATAGGTGACTGAGAAGTGGGCCTAGGGCACCTTCAGACTCAACCCCAATGATGAGGACATCCACACAGCCAGCGAGCACCACCTGAAGGTAAGATCCCTGCAGCCCCACTGCTTTCCTGGCCTCCCGTCTTCACCTGGCCCTGGGCCACTTGGAGCATTAGCACCATTGTTCCATTTACTTCACCATTGGCAGACAGCAGTGACGATCTCAGGACATGGCCAGTTGCAGTGGCTCATGCCTATAATCCTAGCACTTTGGGAGGCTCTGGTGGAAGGATCACTTGAGCCAAGAGTTTGCATGGGCAACATAACAAGGTTTCATAACTACAAAAAATTGAAAGAAAAAAATGAACAACAGGGCTAAGCAGAATTGGTGAGAGATTTGGGCAAGACCTGGGGCCCTTGGGTAGGGAGGGAGGTTGGCAGGGCTGATGAAAGCTGCCCTGCCTGGATTGACTCCTCTGGGCATCTAGACTGTGACCCTGGGCCTCCCTTCACTTCCAAGAGCTCATTAGCAAAACTGCTGGGAAGCTGCACACGGGATGCAGCTGGAATGACCAGGTGCCTCTAGCCCCTCCAACCCCCTGCTTTTTGCTGTCCCAATGTTGGGGAGCCCAGGGGGCAGTTAGAGCTCAGCAGGGTCCTGGCTCCCCAGGGAAGCAGCTCATCAGCCTCCCTGAGCATCACCTCCTGCTTGCACAGGTGGTCATGGAGCTTAGACTATGGATGTGGCAGACCTGCTCGATGCTCTCCGGCCTCTTGTGGGAGCCCATCAGGACCATGGCAGAGGTGTGAGTCCCAAGGCACACCCAGGGGTTAGAGAGAGGTGTGATGGCATCCTGAACAGCAGACTAGGTGGCAGGGACAAACAGGGTGGAGATGCCAGGCCCTGGGGGACGGGTATTACAGAACGCCGAGATTGAGGCAGAACAGCCAGGAGTGGGGCATTTCCTGCAGTCCCCAATACTCCCATGGCAGTCTAGCTCAGCAGGCAGGGAAGAGTCACCCTTTGTGGGGCCTGGTGTGGTGGCTCATGACTGTAATTCCAGCACTTTGGGAGGCAGAGGCTGGTGGATCACCTGAGGTCAGGAGTTCACGACAAGCCTGGCTAACATGGTGAAACCCTGTCTCTAATAAAAATACAAAAATTAGCCAGACGTGGTGGTGTGCACCTGTAATCACAGCTACTTGGGAGGCTGAGGCAGGAGAATCCCTTGAACCCAAAAGGCGGAGATTGCAGTGAGCTGTGATTGCATCACTGCACTTCGGCCTAGGACTCCACCTCAAAAACTAAAAAATAAAAGGGAAGAGAACTCACCCTTTGCAGATTTGAGGGAAGGAAACTAAGGCACTAGCTTGGCTGTGCCTGGAGCAGCAAGAGTCTCTCCCCACTCTGCCTGTGTCCCACGTCTCCCGCATTATGTGTCCCCACCCAGCCCATCTGGTGAAAGGCAGAGGCAAAGGCTGCCTCCTGCTGGCCTCATCCCAGGCTTTGGCTTCTGGGACCTGGTGTCTTTGGGTCTGGATTTGTTCCTTGTAGACCTGGAGGAGGAGCTGCTGGGGAGTCTCCACGTGTTGTCAGAGACCCCTCCTCTAGGTCAGCTCCCTGTGACCCCTGTTTCTCAGACTGGGAGGGAAATAAGGGCACACAATTGTGACCATGGAGGTGGCGCAAGGCTGCTAGGAGGAACGGAGTGTCTGCTACAGAACTCAGGGTTTCTTTCATTTACTTTTTTTTTTTTGAGACAGGGTCTTGCTCTGTCAGAGTGCAGTGGTGGGATCTCTCCTACCTGCAAACTTTGCCTCCCTGGGTCAAGTGATTCTCCTACCTCAGCCTCCCAAGTAGCTGGGATTACAGGTATGTGCACCACATGCAGCTAATTTTTGTATTTTTTTCAGTAGAGATGGATTTTACCATGTTGGCCAGGCTGATCTCTTGAACTCCTGAGCTCAGGTGATCTGCCCACCTCAGCCTGCCAGAGTGCTGGGATTATAGGCATAAGCCACTGCATCCAGCCTAATTTTAAAATTTTTAACTTTTTTTTTTTTTGAGATAGAGTTTTGCTCTTGTCACCCAGGCTGAAGTGCAATGGCACTCGGCTCAGTGCAACCTCTGCCTCCCAGATTCAAGCAATTCTCCTGCCTCAGTCTCCACAGTAGCTGGAACTACAGGTATGTGCCACACCCAGCTAATTTTTGTATTTTTTAGTAGAGACAGGGTATTACCATGTGGCCAGGATGTTCTCAATCTCCTGATCCACGTTGACCTCCCAAAGTGCTGGCATTACAGGCGTGAGCAACCACACCCGGCCAAATTTTCTCTGTTTGTCTTTAGAGATGAGCTCTTGCTCTGTCACCTAGGCTGGAGCGCAGTGGCTCAGTAATAGTTCACTGCAGCCTTAAACTCCTGGACTCAAATGATCTTCCCACCTCAGCTTTCTGAGTAGGTAAGACCGCAGGTGTGCACCACACCCTGCAAAGATTTTACATTTTTTTGTAGTAACGGGTTTTCACTATGTGGCCCGGTCTGGTTGAAGTCCCAGCCTCAAGTGATCCTACCATCTTGGCCTCCCAAAGTGCTGGAATTACAGGCTTGAGCCACCGTACCTGGCCTTGAGTACAGAATTTCCTTAGGGGGTGACAAAAATGCTCTAAAATCGGTGATGGATGTGCACTAAAGTGTGAGTGATATCTCAGCAAAGTTGGTTTATTTAAAACAGCAACAGGCTGGACGAAGTGGCTCATAATCCCAGAACTTTAGGAGGCCAAGGTGGGTGGATCATCTGAGGTCAGGAGCTTGAGACCAGCCTGGCCAACATGATGAACCCCTGTTTCTATTAAAAGTATGAAAAATTAGTAACTTGAATGAGGGGCAGGGTATCCCACCTGCTCCGAGTAGCACTTTATGAGCCCCAGTTATTTCTGGGGTCCTCAAATGAAACCTCCCAAGTCATACCCAAGTCATACCCAACATGTGCCTCCTCCCCTTTTCTAGCCCCGGCTGGGAGATGCTGAGTGATAGAGGCTCAGGCTTTGGGTGTTCCTGGCAAAGCCTCACCCCAGGAGCCCCACAGCTCAGGCCCAGTCCATGGTTCACATGGCCCCATTTCGTCCTCTTTTTCCCTTGAGAGCAATTTGTCCCTGGGAGATCCTGGATCCCTCATTCAGGTGCAGTGCTGTAGGGCAACACTTCTTCCTGGGGTGACCCAGGCCTGCAGTGTCCCAGTGTCACTGGCAGGCCCTGGCCTCCACCTAAGCCCCTGCTCCTCCTCTCCCACAGGGAACATGACATCCTCTTCCTAGGTTACACCCACCTGCAGAGGGCCCAGCCCCATCACTGGAGCCACTGGATTCTGAGGTGAGCTGGGTGAGTTGCTGGGGCTGTACTGGATGGGAGGACCCTGGCTGTCCTGACCCTCCTGCCCCTGGCTTTCCACAATGGTGCCATGGTGCTGACCCTAGACTCTGAGCAGCTGCTGGAGGTTCGGAAGCTGATTGGTGTCCTGCCCCTGGGGAGGTGGGTGAAACTCCAGTGCCCTAAGGGCCTGGTGGGTGTGGCTGCTGCATAGCCCAGGGATTCACACATGAGCTGGGAAGGGCAGAGAGAGTTAGAAAATCAGGTTATCTGCTCAGAGGGGGACCCTGCATGGATTCCCAGGTCTTGCTAAGGTGGGGACGTCCAAGCCAGTGAATGTGTCTGAGCAGGGCTGGCCTTAGCGTAACACACTTAGCGTAAAATGACCTGATTTATTCAATAAATGGACTACAAGGGACAGCACAGAGATCAAAGTGGGAAGTTGGTCAGGATCAAGAAAATCCTAAGAGGTGAATCAAACAATCCCAAGGAGAGACTTTATTTGGATCCTGATTCACACAATAAATACATGAAATGACTGGAAATTTGGAGCTAGAAGGAGAGTTGACAGTGATAAAGAGCAATGGTGTGAGATGGTTGATGATGGTATTGGGATTATTATATTTTTTAAAGAGTTCTTGTCTCCGGGCACGGCGCTTCACACCTATAATCTCAGTAGTGTCGGAGGTCAAGATGGGAAGATCCTTTGAATCCAGGAATTCTAGACCAGCCTGGGCAACATAGCAAGACCCTGTGTCTACTAAAATACAAATTAAAAAATTAGCTTGGCATGGTGGTGTGAGTCTGTAGTTGCAGCTACTCAGGAAGCTGAGGCAGGAGAGGCCACAGTGAACCAAGATCATGCCCCTGGTTGACAGAGACCTTGTCTTGAAAGAACAAACAAGAATTGTATCTTTTACAGACATATACCAAGAGAGTCAGGGAGGAAATTATATGATGTGTGGGATTTGCTATAAAATCCTGAGAGGGGGAGGAGAAGCATGTAGGAGTATACATGTAACGAGATTGGCCATCAGATAACAAGTATCTGAATCTGCTGCCGAGTAGGTGAAAGTCACCACACTAGCCTCTTGTTCCAAAAAGCTCGAATAGAAAGTTTGTGTAAAAATCCACTTCATGGATATGTAACAAGCATTGAATAAGATCGTGTATACAGAGTGTTTTATCACCATGGCTTGCAGGTAGTCAGCACACAAACATTGTTTTTAGTTTTGTATAGTCCCTGTCCATTAATCACACCCACAAAAGATATGTTGTTCACACCAAGAGCTCTGGCCCATGGACCTTTGTCCACTTGGTGGTAATTTATTGGAATTTGAGGTTTAGAATGAGGTCAAAGCCCCAAGCCTACTATGAAATAGCAAAGCCAATGGTCCCAGATGCCTTCGTAGCACACCTAGTAAGTAGGACCATTTTTCTCTCACCTTGTAGGCACACTTGAGTTCATTCACTCATTTTTCATTCATTTCTTATATGCCACTGTATTGGGTACTAGGGATCCGTAATACAGTTGGCCCCTAATTGAATGGAAGCATCACTTTCAAAGTATCATTGCAGGATGAGTATTTTGTGTCAAGTGGATTCAAGGGACAGTGCGAAGGATCCATGGCCTCAGTCATGAAGACTCTCCCAAGAGCCAACCGTCCTGGGCACATATAAATGAGTGGAGACATGGAACTCACCCTTACAAGGCCTAGAACTTGACAGAGCATACAAGACAGAAGCCCAAATAACCAAGAACAGGAAGCTGAAGGTGAGAGGTGGGCCCCAAAGGATTCTGTGAAAATGCTATGTGTTTGTGGATTTATCATGCCGAATGAAATTTTTATTCACAGGTTAGATACACTCTATATATAGAATCTATGAAGGGACATTTCTGGGTTTTCTGAGGCCTATGGTGAAAAATGGAGTATCTCAGGCCACTCAGGATGAATAATGCAGTCACCGAGAGGGGCAGGGTGGCCACAGATGGCCAGCAGCAGGGATGGGCATTGTGAGCCTTTGGGTGGGGTTGTGGGAAGTGGCATTGTGAGCCACTGGCCTGACTTTGTTGTTTCCTGGTAACCAGGTGACATAGGAGGCTTTGTGGGTAACAGGCATCAGCCAGGGCCAGCAGCCTTCAGTCAGAAGCTGATGGAGGAGGAGGAGCTCCGACTATTCTCACAGAAGTATTTGTGCCCTTGTGGCTTGCTCTGTTGCAGCACTTTGGGAGGTCAAAGCAGGTGGACCGCTTGAGTCCAGGAGTTAGAGACCAGCCTGGACAACATGTTGAAACCCCATCTCTACAAAAAAAATACAAATTAGGCACAGTGGTGGATAGTTCCAGTTACTCAGGAGGCTGAAGTAAGAAGATGGCTTTAGTGTGGGACGTGAAGATTGCAGAAAGCTGACATCACAACACTGCACTTCAGTCTTGGCAACAGAGTGAGACTCTATCTGAAAAAAATTGTATACTTTATTGAATCATTTATATATGATTGTTATTTTTGATTACATATTGTTTAGTTCACTACTTTAAAGCCTGCTTTATTATTTCTTAATTTTATTGACTCATTTGTGCCTTAGTCTGTTTCATTACAAATTATTGTTTAGTCACTACCTTGGAGCCTGTTTTCTTTTTTAAAAAATTTTATTACACTTTAAGTTATGGGGTACGTGTGCAAATGTTGCAGGATTGTTGCATAGGTACACACATGCCATGGTGGTTTGATGCCTCCATGTCCCCATTACCTACATCAGGAATTTCTCTTAATGTTATACCTTCCCAACCTCTCCACCCCCAACTATCCCTTCCTTAGTCCCACACCCCCGTTCCCCTCTCTTGTGTTCATGTATTCTCATTCTTCAACACCTACTTAGGACAGAACATGTGGTGGTTGGTTTTCTTTCCTTGTGTCAATTTGCCGAGAATGATGGTTTCCAGATTCATCCATGTCCCTGCAAAGGACATGAACTCACCCTTTCTTAAGACTGCATACTATCCCATAGTGTATATGTGCCACATATTCTTTATTCAGTCTATTATTATTAATCGGCATTTGGGTTGGTTCCAAGTCTTTGCTATTGTAAACAGTGCTGCAATGAACATATGTGTACATGTGTCTTTGCACTAGTCCTCTCGTGTAACTCTCCAGGTCTGGCTCCTGCCTGTGGTAGACACCTTTCCAGGCCAAGCATTGGCTTTTTGGCTTCCTATTTCAGCTCAGAACATTTTCAAGTCAGCCTCTGTGGTCTCAGCTCTTCCTCCTGGCTGCATCTACAGGCCCAACTCCTGCCTCACAACAACATTTGCTTCTAGCAGTCTGTGTAGGCTCCAGCCTTCCTCAAGTTGGGCTTTCCAGGCCCACCTTTGGCCTCCCAGTGGCCTGGACAGACCCACCTCCTGCCTACCAACAGGTAGGCCCAGCTCTTACCCTTGATGTTGGCCTCCCCAGGCCATTTCTGCCTGCCTGCGTGCCTGCCTCATGGCAGCTCCTGGCTCTCTGATGGCCTCTTTAGGCACATGTCATGCCTCACCATGGCCTCCCCAGGCTGATGGAGGCTCCTGTTTTTCGGCATCCTCTGCAGGCCCAGCTTGTTCCTCACTAGACGATTTAGGCCTGCACGCCCGCTACTCGGAAGCTTTTGGTGGCCTCTCCAAGCCCAGCTCATAAGCTCATTCCTTTGTGGCCTCTCCAGGCCCAGGTACTGCTTTCTGGAATCCATTCTGGGCAAGCTTTTCCTCATGGCTTCATCTACAGGCCCCCCACCTGCCCTGCAACAACCTCTGTGAACGACCTGAAAGGTCCTGAAATCAAGCTCTCCAGGCCCACACAGCTCATGCCTCATAATGGCATCTCCAAGATCAGCTCCTGACCTCTGAATGCATCTCGAGGACCCAAATATGCTCAAGTCAGCTTCTATTCGCCTGGCTCCAGCTTCCTCCTGGTGGCCTCAGAGGTTTACATGTTCCTAAAGTTGGCCAATTTTGGCCCAGGTCCTGCCATCCTGGTGGCCTCTCTGGTTGCAAAACCTCCTCACTTTGGCCCCTCCAGGGTGAGCTTCTGTCTCTCAATGACCTCATTGGGCCCAGCTCCTGCCTCCCAACATCCTTTGTGGACTCAGCTCCTGCCCAGCTTCTGATGTCCTCCATAGGCCTGAAAGGCTCATGGTTGCCTCCCCAGGCTCAGCTCCTGCTCTCTGTCAGCATCTACAGGCCCCAAACTTCCACAAGTTGGCTTCTCTTGGCTTGGCTCCAGCCTTTCTCCAGTGGGCCTGGGCAGGCCCAAATGGTCCTGAAGTCGGCCTCTCCAGGCCCAGCTCCTGCCTGAAAGTGGCCTCTCCAGGCCCAAAGCCTCCTCTTGTGGGTTTGTCCAGGCCTGGCTCCTGCCTGTGGTAGGCCCTTCCAGGACCAGCCTCTGCTTCCTAGTGGATACAGGCATGCAATGTGTAATAATCACATCAGGGTAAATCGGATACTCCTCATCTTAAGCATTTATTTTACTTCTTTATTTAACAAGCAATTCAGTTATGTTCTTTCCTTTTTTCTTTTTCTTTCTTTCTTTCTTTTTTTTTTTTTTTTTTTTTTGCACTGGAGTGTAGCTCTTTCTCCCTGGCTGGAGTGCAGTGTTCCAATCTCATCGCACTGCAATGTCTGTCCCCAGGGTTGAAATTATTCTCCTGCCTCAGCCTCCTGAGTAGCTGAGACTAATTTTTGTATTTTAAGTAGAGACAGGGTTTTGCTATGTTAGGCTGGTTTCAAACTCCTGGCAGGTGATTCTGGGATTGCAAGCATAAGCCACCACACCTGGTCCCTTTTAGCTATTTTTAAATAAGTAAATTATTGTTTACCATTGTCACTCTTTTGTACTACCAAGTACTACATCTTATTCATTCTAACTGTATTTTTGTATTCATTAATTATTTCTGTGAACCCCCTCCAGCCCACTATTCTTTCCAGCCTCTGGTAACCTTCATCCTACTCTCTATCTTTATGAGTTCAATTGTTTTAATTTTTAGCACCCACAAATGACTGCGAACATGCAAAATTTGTCTCTCTGACTTATTTTAGTTAATAAAATAATCTCCAGTTCTACTCATGGTGTTGCAAGTAACAGGATTCTATTATTATCATGGCTGAATAATATTCCATTGTGTATATGTACCACATTTTCCTTATCCATTCACCTGTTTTTTTTTTGTTTGTTTGAGACCGAGTTTTGCTCTTGTTACCCAGGCTGGAGTGCAATGGCGCGAACCTCTGCCTCCTGGGTTCAGGCAATTCTTTTGCCTCAGCCTCCTGAGTAGCTGGTATTACAGGCACGTCCCACCATGCCCAGCTAATTTTTTGTATTTTTAGTAGAGACGGCGTTTCACCATGTTGACCAGGGTGGTCTCAATCTTTTGACCTTGTGATCCACCCACCTCGGCTTCCCAAAGTGCTGGGATTACAGGCATGAGCCACTGCGCCTGGCCCCATTCACCTGTTAATGGACACTTAGATTGCCTCCAAATCTTGACTATTGTGAATAATGTTGCAGCAAATGTAAAAATGTAGATATTTCTTTCATATACTGATTTATTTTCTTTTGGGTATATACCCAGCAGTAGAATTACTGTGTCATAAAGTAGCTCTTTTTAGTTTTTTGAGGACTGTCCAAACCATTCTCCATAGTGGTTGCACTAATTTACTATCTCACCAAAAGTGTAACAGGGTTCCCTTTTCTCCACATCCTCATTAGTTACTGCCTGTCATTTGGATATAAGCCATTTTAACTGGGATTGCATGATAGTTCATTGTAGTTTCTATCAGTGATGTTGAGCATCTTTTTATAAAGATGCCATTTGTATGTTTTCTGTTGAGAAATGTCTATTTTGATCGTTTGGCCATTTTAAATCAGATTATTTGCTTTTTGTTCTATTTTTGTTTTTACCTAAGCTCATTATATACTCTAATTATTAATCCCTTGTCAGATGGATTCAGAATTGTGTTTTGTCTTTATTTTACACTCAATTCTAAACCATTGAATGGTATCAAGTGGAGAATTGACATATTAGTATTGGAAGATGACTTTGTGTATTTGCTACCTATTGCTGTGTAACATACTGGTCAGGTGCAGTGGCTCACACCTGTAATCCCAGCACTTTGGGAGGCCAAGGCAGGCAGATCACGAGGTCAGGATTTCAAGACAAGCCTGGTCAAAATAATGAACCCTTTCTTTACTAAAAATACAAAACTCACACTTATAATCCTAGCTACTCAGGAGGCTGAGGCAGGAGAATCACTTTAACCTAGGAAGTGTACGTTGTAGTGAGCTGAGATTGTGTCACTGCACTCCAGCCTGGGAGACAGAGTGAGACTCCATCTGAGAAAACAAACTAACAAATAAAAAAATACCACCCCAAATTATACAGTTACAATGATACTTATTAGTCTTCTCATAATTCTGGAGGCTGACTAGACTCACCTAGGCAGTTCTGGCTCAGGATGTGGTTGCCTCTAAACAGTATGGAGTTAGAATACTGTCAAAGGTTTTCTTGCTCAAGTAACTCCTGGTTAATGTGGGCTGTCAGCCAGGGAATCAGCTGGGGCTATCTGGTGGAATACCCACACATAACCTCCCTACATGATCTGGGCTGTCTGACAAAATGATGAATGGGTTTTAAGCACACCCACCCCAGGAGGGAGAGCCAAGTGGAAACAGTATCATCTTTTATGTCAGGTCATGAGCAACAATTCACTTTATTCTGCTTACAGAAGCAGGGGACTATGGTCATTTTCAAGGGAAGAGAAACTAAATTCTATCTTTTGATAACAAGTGTAAAAAAAATTGAGGACAACTATTCACAATAGTGGAGAGATGGAATCAACCTAAGTTTTCTTCCCTTGATGGAAAAAAGAATAAAGAAAATGTGGCAGCCAGGCACAATGGCTTACACCTGTAATACCAGCACCTTTGGAGGCCAAGGTGGGCAGATCATCTGAGGTCAGGAGTTTGACACCAGCCTGGCAAACATGGCAAAACCCCTTCTCTACTGAAAATACAAAAAGCCAGGTGTGGTGGTGCATACCTGTAATCCCAGCTGCTTTGGGAAGCTGAGGCAGGAGAATCACTTGAGCTTGGGAGGCAAAGATTGCAGTGAGCTGATATTGCACCACTGCATTCCAGCCAGGGTGAGAGAGTGAGACTCCATCTCAAAAAAAAAAGCAGAAAATGCTTTATGTAATCAAAATAAATCAGAGGATAAAAGAAGTATATTAACGCAACTGAAAAAAGCTGTGGAGATTAGAGATAGTAGTCTAACACTGGGTTGTCAATTGACCCTGAGTTAACCTTAAAAAAAAAAAAACGGCTGGGCACGGCGGCTCATGCCCATAATTCCAGTGCTTTAGGAGGCTGAGGTGGGAGAAAAGCTTGAGGCCAGGAGTTTGAGAAAAAGCCTGGGCAACACACCAAAACCCTATCTTTACAAAAGTAACAAAACTTAGCCAGGTGTGGTGGTGCACACCTGTAGTCCCAGCTACTCGGGAGGCTGAAGTGGGAAGATTTTTTGAGCCCACGAGTTTGAAGCTGCAGTGAACTATGATGACACCACTGTGTTCTAGAACCTCGGTGACAGAGCAAAGTTCTATAGAAAAAAAGAAAAAGAGAGAGAGAGGAAGAAAGCAAGGAAGGAAGGAAGAAAGAAAAAGAGAAAAAAGGAAAGAAAAGAAAGAAGGGAGGGAGAAAGAGAGGAAGGGAGGGAGGGACAGAAGGAGGGAGGGAGAGTGAAAAAGAAA